TAATCTTTCACTGTTCTCAAATTTTTTTACAAATAATATGAGAAATAATATGCATGTTAAAAATATAAATAAATTTGCTTAAATTAATAAAAAAATAATTTTTTATGTCATTTAGTTATTAAATCATATAAAGCAAACATTTCAATATATTAAATAAATAATTTTGTGCTTCTCATTATTTTTCTCTGGTTGGCAAAAATACTCATATTCAATTCAATACAATTATTTATATTTAATATTTACGACATATTTGCAACCGAATAAAATGAAATTTTACTACAAATTAATTTAAATTTTATTGCAGAATTATTTAAAAATGACCTACATTTTAGTTGCCTTCTACATATATAAACGCTCTTTTAACATACATAAGGATATGTTGGAATATTTATATATATACGCAAATTAAACCAATAATATCCTCAGCTGACATTTAAAAAAGGATACATAAATATTCAGTGCAGTGCATATAACGAATGCAATTCATATGCACACCAACGCATTATTGGGTAATAAACATTTATTAAAGCGTTGTAAATACGTAAGTACATGCAATTGGCAGTGCCCACATGAGAACTGCACCAAGCATATGTCACCTTTGCAGGTACACAAAGGAGTAGTGCTTTTCATTTCTGTTTGATGTTTTACTACAGGTGACACACTTTCACTCGGAAAAACACAATAGTATTTCAGAATATTCGAAAGCCAAAGCCACTTTTGAAACGTCAAAAACAATGAAAAAAGTAAAATTGCAAATTACTCATACGTCCTGAGGGCTTTGCATTGCAATTGTGGGTAGAAGAAAAGCAGCTCGTGTGTGTGTGTGTGCGTATGTTCGTCTATGTGCATACGTAGGCGTTTTTGATTATTATTATTATTGGATTTTTTTTTCTTATATTCAGTTTGTATTTTGTTTTGTTAATATTTATGTATAAGTGCGTGTTTATTTATGCTTCACACATGCACATACGCCACAGGATTGTGTATGCACATTTACGCATTTTTGAGCCTACTTTTCGGCTGTGTTGCAAGGGCGTTGGCTCGTTTTGAATTTATTTCGCGTATGCTCAGTACGCAATTTCCTTGTTACGTCATTTGCATCGCCTGTCCGTCAATTTGATGCTTTTCACTGTCCGTAGGTAATACATGCATTGAATGCCTCACACATATATAGTGCAGAGCTATGACTTGTTAAGTGCATCATCACCTAAGATAAGTGCTTAAGGCACACTTCGTTTTCATTCATTTAAAAGTTTTAAGTTTATTAAAAGTGGTAAGGAACCGTACATATTGGCTTCATTTTCAAAATTGAATAGTCATTGGTTCAAATTCAAAAATTTGCCAGACTTAAATGTATAAAAAATGCTTAAAAAATGATTTTATTATGCAAAAATATATAAAAATTTATTTAGTTATAACTGTATCTTAAAATGACCTTTATATATATATATAATAATTGTCATTATATATGTAAATATATATAAATAATTTAATTTTTGTTAAAATTAAACTAATCTTAAAATATATGAAGAAAATATGAAAGTAACTCAAAAAAACGAATTCAAAGTTAAACAAAGGTGTCGATTTTAATTAGTACTTTAATTTTCTTTTTATTATATATTTAATTGCGCCTAGTTATACTAAAGAGAAAACTAATTGGCAATTTATATTGGAGACTTCAAATTGTCGATATTAATCCTTATCTATAATATTATAGAATAATGATTATTATACATAAAATAATTTATTAAAACAGCCGGTTTAAGCCGTCGTACGACACCTTTTGTTTGAAAGAGTGCTGAAGCTTCTGTGTGGCAGAACTTCAAGCCTTTTTTTATGTGCTTCGGCCTGATTATTTCAGCAACTGTCGAAACATGCAAGCCCCGATGAAGGTTGCTGTTACGGACATACAAAGAAGCATTGGTAATTGTTCTTAGGATGTTGTTTTGATTACGTTGTATTATCTGCCTATTTGACTCAGATGTGCAACCCCATACTTGAGATCCGTAGACCCGAATTGGATGTAGTACCTGCGTGTATATTATTAACTTGTTTTCGATTGACATAACGGAATGTCTTCCAAGTAGCTTCTAATCTGTTTCTTCCATTTTGTTCTTCACATCCTTCACTGTCTTCTTCACTTCCTTCACTGTAAACCACTTAATATCAACTTTGGTAGAACCAAATAAAAATATTTTACATATTAAAATAAAATCGGAAACAGAATCAGGAAAATAAGAAAAGTCCTAATTCTTATTGGACTAAATTTTTTATTTTGAGAAAAAATAAACACCAAGAAAATATATAAACCATCTTATCAGATCCAGTCGTAGATGTTATCAGATTCATGTTAACTGATATAAGCAATACCTAACTTGTTGATAAAATACCTAAATTGATCTAACAAAATATTAATTGAATTAAAAAAATAGACAAATATTTAAAATTTAAAAACTTGATTTATTGTTTATTATATATGAAATATATTCGTTATATTATTGTCAATTAAAGTTTATAAAAATCAATTAAGTTAATTATATTACATACAAAATTATGTACTTGTAAGTATATGAATCGACTGCTATGTACAATAATAAATTAAAAAAAATATATATATAAACTAAATTAATATTATATATCAATAAATGAATTGCTGTATCTATCTATCTTCTATTCTGTTTCTTCCATTTTGTTCTTCACATCCTTCACTGTCTTCTTTGCATTTTTAGCTGCTGTTCGAATATGTTTTAATAACTTCTGCTTAAATAACATCTCTCGACTCATTGCATTTAGATCCTCCATACTGCATTCTTTCACATTTTTAAACGTTCTGGATATGAGCTCTTCGGTCAAGTCAATTTTAGTTCGGTATAATCTCATAGGACGTGCTTTTTTCATCGCCAACTCTGATCGATATTTAAATAATGTGTAGCCTACAGTTGGTTTTCCGCTAGCCATTTCCTATTATATGTAGTATATTGCAGAATTCAAAAAATTCGATATTATTATAAATACGCGTATAGTGAACGACTTCAAGATGTTGCGATATAAGATTCTGTATTAGAACTAAAGAGTTCTGTGTTGGGTTCCAGTTTAAATACCTTTCTGATTTCATACAGGCAACTGTATGTA